TTTTGTCTTGTGCTCTGACTATTGGTTCCGGTGCTACTGCTTACTCCTCTGTCATTCCTCCAGTGTTAAAGCTTTCTGTTCCTGGGTTGAGGAGGTTCAATATACAGGAATCTCAGGGTCTAAAGGATGTTCTCCATTCCTGGCTCTTCTTCTTTAATAATAGTGAGATCCCCATCTAGCCCCCACTTCTGAGATGGTTCATTATATACCCAGGTTAGAGTTCCAAGTTTTTACAATCACAATTCACTCTGTTAACAGTTGCAAATGAATCATATCATCGTATCAGTATCTTCTTCCACCTCTTCTTACTCAGGTCCATCAGGAAAAAAGTTGTTTGGAAGGATATATAAGGACTATGGGTAGAAGAACCATATGAAGTAAGCCACTGTACTGCAGTTGTATAATAAAGTAAAGTCCATCTTCCTTACCCCAATGAATTATCATGAAGAGCTTCTCATAATTTTTGTCAGATGAGGGAAACTGAAACTCAAACAGGTATTATAATCTACCAAAGGTCACAGAGCTAGATGAGCCCAGTGGGTCTTTGATGAAAGCTGATGTTTTGTTAACAAATCACTATGCAATGGGTGATGGTGGTGTGCAATTGAATGAGTTCTGACTCATGTTGTTGTCAGGTTCTATTTAGTCAGTTCCTATTTGTAGTGACACAACAGAACAAAACACTGTCCGGTCCTGTGTCATCCTCACAATCATCATTACGCTTGAGCCATTGCTGCTGCCACTGTGCCAAGCCATCTCATTGGGTGTTCTCTTCTTTTTCACTGATTCTCCACTTTACCAAAAGGAGCTCTGGTAATGTAGTGGTTATGATTTGGGCTGTTAGTCATATGGTCAGAAGTTTGAAACTACCAATGTTTCCATGGGAGAAAGATGAGGCTTTCTGTTCCCATAAAGATTTACAGCCTCAGAAACCCTATACAGGGTCACTGTGAGTTGGAACCGACTCCAAAGCACATAACTACCACCACCACCACTTAACTGAGCATGCTATCCTTCTCCAGGGACTGAGCCCTCCTGAAAATATGTCCAAAGTATGAGATAAAAATCTCACCAACCTGGCTGCTAAGGAGTATTCTGACTGTACGTCTTTCAAAACAGATTTGTATGTTCTTCTGAAATTCCATACTTTTAATATTCTTCTGTTGTGGCACTGTAGGATAATCACTGGACCACAAGGTCGATTTGAAATGAAAAAAAAAAAAAAAAAAAAAAAAACAGCTGCTCCTTCGGAACCCTATAGAGGGTCGCTATAAGTTGGAAGTGACTCGATAACACTTAACAACAAAAACAACAACCATAACAACCATAATTCAAATGTATCAATTCTTCTAAGGTCTTCCTTATTCATTTTTCAACTTTGCCATACATATGAGGCTATTGAAAATAACATGTCTTGGGTCAGGCATACCTTAATCCTCAAACTGATGTCTTTGCTTTTCAATACTTTAAAGAGGTCTTGCGCAGAACATTTGCCTAGTGCAATATGTCATTTTATTTCTTGACTGTTGCTTCCATGAATGTTGATAGTGGACGCAAGCAAAGCAATGTTTTTCATGACTTCAATCTTTTCTCCATTTATCATGATGTTATTTATGGGTCCACTGGTGAGGATTTATGTTTTCTTTATACTGAGATGCAGCCCTTACTAAAGGCTGTGTTCTCTGATCTTTATCAGTAAGGATTTTAAGTTTTCTCTTCTTTCAGAAAGCAAAGTTGTATCATCTGCATAGCACAGGTTGGTAATTAATCTTCCTCCAATCTTAATGCTACACAGTGACCCTGTGCAGGATTTCTGAGGCTATAAACCTTTATGGAGCAGAAAGCTTCATCTTTGTCCCATGGAATAGTTGGAGGGTTCGAATTGCCAGTTCGAACTACCAGTACTCCTTCACTAAACAATTGCTGTTATTAAGTGTCTTTGAGTGAGTTCCAACTCATAGTGACCCTGTATGTGGTTTCCAAGGAGTAGCTACTGGGTTTGAACGGCAGACCTTATGCTTATCCTGCAGCAACACATCAGGGCTCCTCACTATGCAATACTGATTTTCTCTTCACTATTTTCTGCTGAGGGGTAAACACATTTGGGATAGTGACCTTCTTTCAGGACATTAAACATTCTGCCTCCTTCTTTCTTTATTGAGACCTCTGGTCAACTGCTTTCTTTCCCTGGAGCCACAACATAGTGACGAGAAGGTATTTAACAAGTAAGTGTCTTTAAGTTGTGTGGATGAACACTTTGGAGCAGATATGATCAAAGATACCATGCATTCTTCAGAACACTTTGGATATTCAGAAAACATGATTTTCTTTCTTCTGTGTTCCTGTTTTAACATTTTGCCTTTTCTCCATCCTTAGCTCCTGCCCCAGATGATCATGTCTTCCAAATGTAACAAGTATAGCCCATTTTTTGCCAATAATTGGATGCACAATACGTTGATAATCTTTTCCCTAATGGTGGACCAAGGAAGCTTAAAAATTATCCTGGGTCATATTTATACAGAATACATAAAATTTGATCAGCAATGTATCTGAATTTGTAGAATGCTAGGATTAGTATCATATGGTATTGATGCTAACATAGAGCAGAAAGGAAATGTGCAGTTATTGAATATCTTTTGCTGTCCATTTATTTATTTTGTCAACTAACATTTATTTACTGAACACCTACTATCTTATTCCTTTATATCTTAAGAATAAAGTCATAAGAAAGAGCAATCAAGTCCAGATAAACACATGATGGAAGATCAGAGAGTGATATTGTTAATTAGAAAATAAGGGTTATACGGTATTCGAGAGATGGGAAGTTGGCTATTTTAGGTTTGGGGGATCAGGGAAGATATGTAAGAGGAAGTAACATTTGGGCTTATACTTGATTAGTAAAAGATCCTTTAGAATATCTGGGAGAAGACTATTCTGGGGATAGAGAAAAGCAAGTACAAAGAAAGGCCCGTGGGTAAAACTGATTCATTGTGTTCAAGGAACAGAGAAAATACCAGTGTGTCTGTGCCATAATGAGTAGGAATGAAGGGGAGAGTGTTATGAAACATCAACTTGAATAGGACCTTGCAGGATGCAAGAAGACATGCGAATGTCTGGACTTGAACTATTGATCAAGAAGAGATAAATCAATTGAGCAAAAAATACTCTCTTGCCTAAAACCTCTGCCCTCCCACCTCTCCCTAATTATAGTATCTTTAGCTTCATGGCTTTTAAAGAGGCCATCCAATATCTGACAAGATTATGAAAGTTTCTGTACCATTTGACCACTAGTAGGCATATCTTAAGCCTTTCAGACTCTGAGAACCCACACTGAACAAGCTAGAAAAGCAATGTTTCATAATCTTTATTGTGCAATGAAGTTGCATTAAACATCAAACTGGTAGTGCTTTGATAGCATCCATCTCAGGTGACACAGGAATGGATGAAATCATGAGTGCTTGCCAGGAATTAATTTTACTAGACTCCAGGAGCCAGTTTGATTTACTTAGTTTGTAAACCCAAAGGACAATCTCCCATCTACAATCCTGTGCTCCTCATAATTTCTGTCATATTAGGAAGTTTCAGGAAATGAATAGTACAGAATATGAATGTTGTTGTTGTTAAATACTGTTGTGTTGATTCAGACTCATAGCGACTCTGTATAGGGTTTCTGAGTAGTGACTGGTGGGTTTGAACCACCGAACTTGCAAGTCAAATCCACCTTGTGGTCTAGTACATTAACCCACAGTACCAAATCATCATTTGGAATCCTGGTGTGACGCTTCAGAATAACACACTGGATTGCAAGGTTGGTTTGAATCACAAGTTTGGTGGTCCAAAACCAACAGCCAAAACTTGGAAACCCTATACAGCATCATCACTATGAGTAAGAACAGACTCCACGGCACTTAACAACAACAACATCATCATTTGGAGCCATTTAAAAATGATTGGTTGATATACTAATCCCATTTGTCAGGATTGTTACCACTTGGTTGTAAAAACACTTGATTTTAAATAGTTGTCCTTGCCACTGGTCTTTTTGACAGCAGACATTCCTTAATGTTAAGAATAGATATACCCCTGAAATGTCCTCCATAAAGTAAGATTAAATACTACCACAAAGATTTAAAGATGACCTTCTTCTCAGTCTTATCATGCTACTTCTTATCTCTTCCTCACACGAAAATTTTTCTAACCACTTCGTACCTACTGGAGTCCATGTAGAGCAAAGCAGGGTGGGGTACAAAAGGTTGAATAGCGAAAAAATCAAAGAGAGATGAAGATAGAATTTCATTCTATAAATGAAATTTATAAAAATTATAAATTTCATTTGATTAGATAATGAAATAGCCAATTAATGGCCAACTTCTGAAGTGGACTTATGGTAAAATTAAATGTTAAAATTCTTTTATAATAATATTGATGGATAAAATTAATGTAGGCTGCTAGGATTTGTTTGTTATGGGAGTCCAGATTTGACCACTGGGACATCTCAATAAGAACTTTATAAACCTTTATAAGTTAATAGGTATCATCTGCATGTTGATTTGGTTTTTAGTAATGTAGCCCATAAATAGAAATTCTGGCTTTAAAACCAAGAGCAAAAATAAAACAGTTCCTGGAATACCTGCTAAGAGACTTGCCATGGGCAGAACAGAAATGGCTCTATAGCCCTGTTTATGGAGAGACTTCTTACAGGTTTTCACTATCAGATTATCACTGTAGTAATATTTATCCTGGGGAAAGAAGTATGGCCACCTTGTGGTCCAGAGATTGGTACAGCTCTCTATGTGACTATCTTATGACCTGAGATGTCCACATTAGCATTTTGTTTTATCTCTTTCTGCCACTTGAAGTATAACACAGGTTTGTCTTTTGATTTTGTTTCTGATTTCTAGGCAAGGTCTTAAATGGAAAAGCCGATACTTTTGAAATATATAGAGGACAAAGTTGTAAACACACAATAAAGCTATTTTTCTATTTCTTTGTTCTTACAGAAACTCAACATATTGCATGAAGGTATCAATGTCCTTGACAGTGGCAGAGAATGAATCAGGCCTGTGCTACAACAGCAGGATCCGCTATTTAGAAAAATCTGAAATCACTAAAAGAAAGGAGATCTCCTGCCCAGACATGGATGACTTTAAAAATTCCGATCAGGAGCCTGATGTTGTGTGGTACAAGGTAACTCAGTATGATGCTAAATGCATTTTTCCCCCTCAGTCAATAGTTGAATTTGGGGGTAAAAAAAAAAAAAAAGAGAGAAATCTCATTTATAGGTGGTTTTCAAAAATTATTATTACATATTTCACTCAGAAGAATCAACAGATCCACAACTAAATAATTCAGATCTTTGACACTTATATACCATTCATTTCCATTAGCAGGTATCAGAATTCAACTGCTAAAAGTAAATAAAATTTTCCTCTACCCCAGCACATGGGAACACATGGGAAGAATGTTGAAGGTTTAAATAAGATGTGAAAGACATAATTAGGACACATAAAACTATCATTTACTGTTAGGAACAAAGTCTTGTGTCATTACAAGTAGCAGTACTTATAAAGAATGGCAGTTGTTACTGTGGTTAGCATTATGAGAATCACTGAAGTAAATGTAGAGAAAAGTGGTTCCAATGCAGAATTTGTGAACACTCTTAAGGAAAAATTTAGCTGGAAATAAGCCCCAGTTAAATACTGAACAAAAGAGAGGTGAATTTTAAAAAGGGGTTATTTACAGAAATGTAATCAGGAACCAACAAGGAGAGTGTTAATTAGCAATACTAGCTCTGCAGTGATAGAGGAAGGTGTGTAGTGTCACTGGAATCTGACAAGAGTGAAGATGGCTTGTCAAGAACAGAGTCCTATCAGGGGCAATGGCCTTAAAGGAACAAAAATCACTGTTCAACTAGGGTAGGTAGGATAAATACCCTAACCTCTCTTAATTTCTGCCTTTCCAGTTTCTTGCTAGTGTTTTCCCTCACCCCTTAATCAAACCCAAACAGAAGCCAGAGCCAAAGGACACCAGATGATATAATCAATAGTGTTCAGCTTTCCTTAGATATATAAAGGAGAGCAGAAAATAGTGGATAATGGAGCTAAGCAAGGAAACAGAGAATAAACAAAAAAAGTTTCAACTGTGATATTCTAGCTACTACCCTGGAGCCCAATGATCAATAGTAGCTTTGAGCACCCCCTAGAAACTCTGAACCACATCTGTACACTTTTATATGTGATGGCTGCAGGTGACAAAGAAGGCTTTCTTCACAGGTGCTGCATACATTGTTGGAACCAAAGAGCTTTCATAAAAGATGGAGCTGGTTATTTGTATAGGATCTGACGGAGATTCAGTTCCTAAGGAAGTTTAAACTATAATTCCGACAGCTGTCATGTGATTTCCCCCCACCCCAAGGTTGCATTATTTGAGGAAGTAGAGTGTCTCTTCTTTCTTCCATACAGCAGCAGGTATCAGTTCAGTTAGTAGCCCAGTACTTAACCCACTGCACCACCAGGACCCCTTATGTTCTGAATTATTGCTGTTGTTAATTGCCATCAACTTTTTGTAGGGTTTCTGAAACTGTACATTTTTATGAGAGCAGAAAACATTATCTTTCTCCCATTGAGCATCTGGTGGGCTTGAACTGCCAAACTTGGGGTTAGCAGATCTGTGCTTATCCTATAGAGTCACAGTGTTCTATGTTCTAAATTAGGACATCCAAATCCCTAGATGAATCGTCTTCTGATTTTTTGTGTGGCAAAAAAACATGTTATTCATTATGCACATACATAAGATATACATAATTTCATAGGACCTTTCACGCTATCATCAACCTCATTAGTATTTATTAAGGAATTACTATGTGCTATTCACTGTGCTGGGGACTCCTGGTGTGGCAATGTAGGTTCAGCACTGGACTGTGAAACACAAAGTTGCTCCTTGGAAACCCTAGACAGGGTCACTATGAGTCGGAACCAACTTGATGGTTTGGTGGTATTAAGTAATCCAATATTCCACTAGATTGACATACTACTCTTTGTTTATCCACTTATTGCTTGATGACCATGGGTTGCTGTCAGTTTTTGGTGATTAATAACAAAGAATTTATAACGTTGAGCATTGAATGCAGAATTTCTTGATATATCAACTTGATTTGTCAACATTTATAATCTTTCAATGTGTATTTTGTTTTGCGTTTTCACATATAAATGTAGTTTGCTGTTGATATTTTCTCCCCAATAGTTGTAAAAATCCAGGCCTAAAAAAACTTACGTACATATTTAATGACATCCAAGGAATAAAAGGGAATCAGAACAAATTGAAACTTCTTAGGCAGTGTCCCTTTTTACAGTCTGACTGCCTTCTATATATACACCAGAACAATCTTTTGGAAATGCACATATGATTGTGGGATGCCATTACTTAAAGTGCTCCAATAATTCCATTAATCCAATTGGAAAATAGCTCACTTTATTGTTTTAAAGGGCCACACATTGTACTAAGTATATTCATGCATTACCTAATTTAATCTTCACAATAGTCATATGAGATAGGTTACATGGTGGCAGAGTTAGGATTTGAAACCTATCCAATACATAAATATTTTAGGATAGAATGTAAGGCTTCTCAAATATGGCACAACCAACTTTGTGCCATTCTGTGGAACAAAACAGTTTGTAATTTTATATCCAGTATATGTTTTTCTATATCTGGATGCTTCCAAATCAGAGATTCCCTCTGTCTGTCTAATTTCTATATATTGCTCAAAATCAACTCCAATGTTAGTAATAAACACCTTGCACATCCATGTCCAGTATACTGTAATACTTGAATAATCTAGCTTTAACTGTATATATTTTTAAGACATTGCCTCCAGACTCATGTAGAAATATTAGTCACATTCAACACCTGAAAGTCATTAACATATACTATTAAATTCCACTGCCATTGAGTCAATAGAATCATAGTGACCCTATGAAGGGTTTTACAAACTGTAAATTTTTATGGGAGCAGATAGCCTTTGTTGCTGTGTGCCATCAAGTCAATTTTGAGCCATAGTGACCCTGTGTATAGTTTCTGAAGACCTGCAGGTGAATTTGTACCACTGATCTTGTGGTTCAAACCAATTTTGCAAAGTCAGCTTGAACTTCAAAGTAGGCAGTTCAAGCTCACCAGCTGCTCCTCGGAAACCCTATGCAGGGTCACTATGGGTTGGGACATACTCGATGGCATTGAACACCAACAGATAGTCTTATCTTTTTCATGTGTAGTGGCTGGTGGGTTTTAACTGCCAACCTTGTAATTCCTTACCCACAGCACCAGTAGGACTCCTTTACATATCATGTTGTTGTTAAGTTCCGTGGAGTTAGTTCTGCCATACACTGACCTTGTATATGGTTTCTGAGTAGCGGCTGGTGAACTTGAACCGCCAACCTTTTGGTTAGCAGTCCAGTGCTTATCCCACAGCGTCACACCAAGACTCCACATATGTGTGTTTTATCTGAAAGCAGAGTACTGAGGAAAATAATAATAAGCAGTTTACTATTATTACTATAAAGAGCTCTGGTAGCATAGTGGTTACGGATCGGGCTGCGAACCGCAAGGTCAGCAGTTCGAAACTACCAGTTGCTCCGCGGGAGAAAGATGAGGCTTTCTGCTCCCGTAAAGATTTACAGCCTCGGAAACCCTGTTCAGGGTCGCTATAGGTCGGAACCGACTCGACGGCACTTAACAACAACAACAATTATTACTATTGGAGTCCTGGTGAGGCCATGTGGGTTAATGCGCCAGACTGCAAAGCCGCTTGAACTGCAAAGTTGGCGGTTCAAGCTCACCAGTCGCTCCTCGGAAACCCTATACAGGGTCGCTATGGGTCGGAACCGATTCAACGGCTCTTAACAACAGCAACAACACCCATTATTACTATTGGGAACACCGTGTATCTAGAGGAAAAGCACTGGACTGCAAACAACAAGATCAGCAGTTTGATCCCACCAGCCACTGTTGTTAGGTGCCATCAAGTTGATACTGACTCATATTGACCCAATGCACAACAGAATGAAACACTGCCCAGTCCTGGGCTAACCTCACAATTGTTGCCATGCTTGAGCCCATTGATGCTGCCACTTTTCCAATCCAGCAGAAGAAATATTAGACTTTCTACTCCCACAATATTTTCAACCTCAAAAACCCTGTACAGGGTCTCTGTGAGTTGGAACCAACCTGATGGCACTTAACAACAACAGCAGCATTATTACTATGCATCACTTAACATCCCTTCGGACAACATCCAACTGCATATATATCTGTTTTTTATTGTTGTTGGTATTGTTTTCTTAAGGAAAAGCAGCTCTCCTTTTGTTTATTATTTCTCCTTAGTGGTTTTAAAAACCTCAAGCCTGACTCTTTCAGCAATGGACCATAGGTGGGATACAGACAAGTGAGGCAAAGGACATGGCTCTGGGTGTGGGCTCTTGGATTTTGTCCATGGGCAGGTGGTGTCGGCAGGTGGTGGCAACTAAGGTACTTGCAGTGGGGACTCTAGGGCCAGACTGCTCCTGCTGCTCAGGCTGGTAAAACAATGGGAGGGACAGGGCATGATCTACTCCCTCTCTGCTCACTAACACTTACTTCACTTTTGCTGCTGCCACCACCAATTTCTTCAAACTCCAACAGTATCCCCAAAAGCAGCAGCAGCAGGAGCAGCAGCAGTGGAAACAAGGATGACCAGAAGTTGAGCTCCTATAAGATTGTAATAATGGTGTTTTCATAATATTCAAATCACATAATGTCCTATTTCACAGAATGTATTATGGACTTTAAAAGACATATACCTATAAAATTTATTGATTTATTTCAGGATGTGATATCCTGTATTTCAGGTCATTTAAATGTATTACCTGATTTAACTCCAAGTGATAAATATTTTCATCACCCAGTTTTACTGGTGAAGCAAGTGAGTTTCATTATCATACAATTAAGAATTCCAATCCAAATGTTTGACTCTAGAACTTATGTTCTTAATCAATGTGTTTTACCAATGTCAGCATTAGGATTGTGAAGATAGAAAGTTTGAGAAATAGAGTTAGAGAAGGAAAAGGCTCTCTGCAATAGATTGTGCTAGGAATTTGTAGCGGATGGAGTCCTGGTGTGGCGCTGTGGGTTAATGCACCAGACTGCAAAGCCATTTGAACTGCAAGGTTGGCGGTTCAAGCTCACCAGTCACTCCTTGGAAACCCTATCCAGGGTTGCTATGGGTTGGAACCAACTCAATAGCATTTAACAACAACAACAACATAGAACTGAAAAGGGCAAGCTTGATACCCAATTCATAATTGTGCTCCTAGCCACCTCTTCATGTCTATATTAGAAAAATCTAGGTTCCCTACAAATCATTGGACAGATTTTTTGCTGTCCTATGGGAGAGTCTAATGACCTAGGGAAAGGATAGTGACTTGGGTATAAGGGTGTGGATGCTGGGTATTGGAACAAAGGTGCTTGGAATAACATAGATCACATAATTGGCTTGTGGTTGTGTGACTGCTTAATGACTGAAACTCAAAATCAGAAGAAATATTTAAATTAATTTTCCTGGTGTTCTGGTCATGAAGAATGTGTCATTTGCTCTGATTAGCACTAAAGTAAACACATCAATGAAACTGATTAAAAAGACATGTAGGTATGGTGATGAGTTTTCAAAGTGGACTGTGGTTATAGAGGTGTGTATTTCAGGCAGAGACTCCTAGATCTCAGTGAGGTTGGTATCAGGTTCACTTTAGGGGACTTGGGTCAACAGATGTCTCTGTTGTACATTCAAGGCTTGTATTAAAGCAACTGATGACAAGTGACATCTGCTACCCAGGGAAATTGGGAGGGGAGAAAGGAAGATGGGCTTTAAGGACTGACATTGTGTTGACTGGTCAAGAATGTCCTACAACAAGCTGTTTGATGAGGGAATATCAAGATGATGAACTGGAGCTGCTTGTTGAGTTCAAGCATCTCCAGAAAGACTGGTCCTAAGCAAAACCTTCAGGTTGATTAAGTTTATTATAACAGCCCCAGGAGCATTAAATAAAAGGGAAGCTGTGTAGTGAGGTCAATGTTAGATGCTTTCTCACATTTGAGGCTTTGATGGTTTGTCTTTCCCTCTGATAAGCAGCCATCTTGAAACTTGAACTATGCATTTAAAACTCCTATGCCTAACAGATTGTCAGAATTAAATGAAACAGGTCTGGGACAGTGAGGTCTGGAACTGCCACATGTCTGGTAGGAATGAGGTGATGGGAAGATTCAGGGCAGAAAAGAAGCAGTAACAACAGCAAGCCCAGCAGCTATCAGTTTAGAAATGAAACACAGAAACTAAAGAAGTCAAGAGCCTGGACACCTTCATAGATTTCATATAGACAAACAGACCTGGTAGAAAAGCCAACAAGGTAGTATTGTGAAGGGTGACTTAGTGGGAACAAGATGGTCATCTGTCTGTTGAGATGAGACGGGTACTTTAAATACTCTTCTGATTTAAAAAATAAAATCTTCTACCCCTCTATTAATATTCATTCTGAGGTTATCTCTTAGAGTTATATATTTTCAATGGGTTAAAGTATCATACTACTGGGATGGGGGTGAGATTAACCCATTAGTGAAGATTTTTCTTGTATCCATTATTGAGGTTGTTAAGTGCTGTGGAGTCAGTTTCATCTCATAGCAACCCTGTACTGCATTTCTGAGGAGTGGTTGGTGAGTTTGAATTGCCTACATTTTGGTGTGGAACTGTAAGATAAGCACTGGACTGCAAGGTTGATTTGAAATGCAAGGTGGCAGTTCAAACTCAGCAGCCGCTCTACAGAAACCCTATACATGGTCTCTATTGAGTTGGGACCTACGCAACAACACTTAATAACTATTGTTTGATTCAAACAGACATGACGACCCAGTACTTTATCCTACAGCTCCCACCAGGACTCCTTTTATCCATTAGCACAAATTTTTACCAAGCAAAGCAGGAGGTTCTAAGAAAATAATTCTGTATAGAGAAAATTTCACACATTCTCTGTACTGAATGACCACTATATATAGTGTTGCCCAACAGGAGGGAAGTGAATAAACCCTGCAGTCTTCTGAGTTATGGCAGCTCACTTGCTATTTACCATTGTCTCCATACTGCTGATTAGGAAACAGAGACCTAGAGAAATTAAAAACTTGCCCAAGATCTCAGAACTTGACTAAAACCCATATTTGAACATTGCCTTGCTTTAAAGTCAGTTTTCACTTTCATCTATAGTACATTATCTATCTCCTAAGGAGGGGAGATTACCTGAAGACAATATATTCCTATGTCATAGTTAAAAAAGAAAATTTTCAAATGAGTATAAAAAAATCCTTAACTAGGCTGGATAACAACTTGGAAGCATTTGGAACTATCTGTATATATTCAAAGAATGTATAAAGAAACCTGGCTGTTCTTAATTAAGAGTATTTTCTAATTATTATTATATGCGTTAGATTTTCCTTCCATGGGTAATGGGGAGAAGGTAGCAAAGCAGTGAGTAGAGAAAAAGCAAGTGTTTTTGAACAAATTACATATAGTCTTCCCTCAAAATTACAATAGAAAACAACACCATTTGTCTTTGAGTAAAATGAGTTTGTGGGCTCATTTTTCCACCCCACCAGCACTATTTTTAAGAGCAACAGCTCAGTTTTCATTTTCCTTTCTCTTCAAAATATCGAGAGGGACCATATTTTTGTTTAATCACTTTCAGAATGATGCTTTAGAAATCTGAGGCTATCAGAGTTGGAAGCAATGCGAAAATAATTGTGGATTATTATTGTATGACGACAGTGGCAGCTGGACTGGGCTTTTTTCTCTTGGTTCAGACTTTCTTCTTCATTTTCCCAGAAACCTTATATCCCAAGGTTTAACTCAGAATCAAATCTCATATAGGTGATAAACCTTACCCGACATGGTATGTAATATAATTTCAGACAGACCCTTAACTGTTCTTCAGAAAGACTCTAGGGGATGAAGCAGACTTATATCTAGATGCCCTATATAGCATTACTTTTATTTACTCTTTGAAAATGTGTGTAAGTTGTATTGGGAATAAAGTAAGCATATATCTTAAATATTACACCTGTGAACTTAAGTGCCAGTTTTTGTGTTTTGTTGCCAAAACTCCAGCTAATATAAAATAAAATAATTTCTGTTATAGTGGGAAACTAATAAATGGGGGCAATCACTCTCTCATATCATTTTACACACACACAAATCCACACACAAATGGTCAGAGCTTGGGTATTGATAGTCAGTATGCATTCTACTTTTATGTGCATGCTCAAAATGTATACACATGAGAGGGAAGAAAAGAGGCAGATGCAAATGTAGAACATATCATCCATGGTGGGAAAGGGGAAAGTACACTCAACTGTTACTCATATAAGCTGTCTCTTAATCAATTTCTTTTATTGCCTCATTTGACAGAGTAAGAATTTAGATGCTAAAGTTATTTTTGCCTTGATTAGTTAGCACTTCTTTACAGTTACCCACAATGTTTCCACTGATTTTTTTAAGCATTTGGGCCCCATATTGGCTGGATATTTGGAGTGAGTGGTAGCTTTAACTAGGATAATACTTAAAATGTAGACTGAGAAATTTTCCATAAGGCAAAAGAGCTTGTCTGAATATTCTTAGATTGTTGTTGTTAAGTGCCGTGAAGTGAAGTTGGCCCTGACTCATTATCCTGTATAGGGTTTCCGAGGCTTTAAATCGTCACAGGAGCCAAAAACTTCATCTTTCTCTTGTGGAGCACCTGATGGGCTTAAACTGCAGGCCTTGTGGTTCCCAGTCTAGCACTTATCATATGGAACAAGTATCTAAAAATCCAAACACATTGCCATTTTGCCGATTCTGACTCATATCGACCCTATAGGACATAATAAGATTAGAACTTTCCCATAGGATTTCCAAGGCTATAATCTTTACAGAAGCAGACTGCCCATGCAGTGGTTGGTGTGTTTAAATGCCTACGTTTTGGTTAGCAGCCAAGTACTTTATCACTGGGCCACCAAGGCTGCTTTTGTGGCTATTGTTATATCTCTGTGTGGCTATATCTCTGATAGAAATATTTCATTCTAAAGAAGTTCAATCCTAGTAACAATACTCTCTCACATTCCTATCAGAAAAGTAGGAACATTGGCTTAAATACCCAAATCTAATTTTCTGGTAATATATTACTAACCCAGAAAGCAAGTGGTTGATACCTCTGTGTTGTTAGTATGAAAAAAGTGTATCCTCATTTTATTCTGCTATGTTTTTAGAGGACTTCTAAGGTTGAATTTTCTAGACAATATTACTTCCTTCTCCTCTCTCCTCCCCCCTCACAAACATGCTTAATGTAGATCTCTTTACTACAAGACAGTCACTGGAGTAAATATTAGGCTCTTTTCTTTTCTATAAGGCATAATTAATGAAATCATTGTAGACTTGTTGCCAATGTAAAAGCCTGATATATATGTTTAACAATGTCTAAACAACCCCTCTGTATACTATGCGGCTAAATGAACATTATGCTCTTAGGACTCTTAGAAAATAGCTTTTTCAAATAGAAAGAACCAGGGCAGCATTATAATATTTAGTGACTTTCAAGTTTCTGCTAAGTCTCACTTGAATCTGTATGCTTTTTTCTTTTTATTTATTTTGCAGAATTTCTTTAAAGATAAATTTGAGCCAGGTTTTTAAAGTGACCTTTTTAGCATGATAATTGTGATATTTGAAATGGATGCAATAGATACATTTGTGACGTTTCATGGTCATTGACTTAACTTAGTAGTTGTGAATTTTGAAGATCAAAGAACAGAACACAGAAAAGTGAACGCACTAACTTGCCAGTACTAAGACTTTGTGATGTGAATTTTAGTTTTTTTCTTACTTGTAACTATTTACTCTGCAGGAATGCAAGCCAAAAATGTGGAGAAGCATAATAATACAGAAAGGAAATGCTCTTCTAATCCAGGAAGTTCAAGAAGAAGATGGAGGAAATTATACGTGTGAGCTTAAGTATGAAGGAAAACTAGTAAGAAGAACAACTGAATTGAAAGTTACAGGTAGGGATTGGTTTAATCAAATTATGACAAATGAGACTAAATATATTTGGGTTAGGGAAAAAAGGGTTTCCTACAAAGAATAAACTTGCCATAAATTTAGACTTGGCTGCAAATCAGGCAGCCTGGAAACTTACTATGTGGTTGTGTAGGATAAGCACTCGACCACAAAGTCTTTTTGAACAGCAAGGTTGGTGGTTCAAACTCACCAGCTGCTCCGTGGAAACCCTATATAGGGTCACTATGGGTCAGAACCAACTCGACGGCATTTCACAACAAAAACTGAATTAAAGCAATATGTGGAATATAAGTGATTTACTGAACAAGGGCCCAATTGTTTCGTATCTGTTCTCTGCCTTTATAAAAGGTTCTTAACTCTTTAAAAATCCGTTGACTACTATTAAGCTGCGTAGAAAGGTATACTGTAACCTCTCTAGAATGTTCACGTACTTAATTTGCATGTGGAATCTCCTTGTAGGTGAAGGGTTCCTTTAAATGAGGTTCTGTTGGGCTTTGGGAATGAAATCATCTTGGATTTTATCCAAAATGTCATTAATATTAAATTATCCATAAGTGAGTGATATTGTTGTTAGCTTTAGTCTTGGTGGCACAAATTGATATGTGCTTGGCAGCTAACCTAAAGGTTGGCAGTTCAAACCCAACCAGTGGCTTTGTGGGAAGAAGACTTGGTGATCCACTTTCATAAAGAAACTATGGAGCAGTACTGCTCTGTCACATGGAGCCACTAGGATTTGAAATTAACTCATTGGTGGACAACAACAACAAACAGACTCTTAAATGGAACTACCCAAGATAATAGTGCACACGTGTATGTTTTAAATTTAAAGTGTAAGTGAAGCATGGAAGAGATGAACTCAGGATATTCTTACTAGGAAGAGAATGTTAGAAAGTCTTTTCAATGGGTGTAATAGATTCTAAGAAACTGTTGTATGACAAAAGCACACCTGCTATTTCTCCTGAGAAAATCTTGATTAATTTTCCTATTACCATACATGCCTGAGGTGTATATATATTTGTGCATGTGCCATTTAATGTTAACACCAACCAGCTGTTAATTATAACATATTATCAAGGAGCTCTAGTGGTGCTGTAGATTAAGCACTAGACTGCTAACCGTTAAGGTTGGAATTTCAAACCCTTCATGTGAGAAAAATGAGACTATCTGCTCCTATAAAATTTATAGCCCTAGAAACTCTATGCAGGGTCACTATGACTTGATGGCATCACTCGACTTGATGGCAGTGGGTTGGATAGTTGGATGGTTGGTTGGTATCAGGGATATTAGGAATATAGATTTTATTTTTATATCATTTTTGTTGGTATCAGACTGAACTTTTTGGAATAGGGCTAGCATATGTTGAGTCAAGTTCATAGCTATAATCCACATATTTAATTAATGAAAAAAACTTTTTGTATTTGTAAATTGAGTGAAGGTTTACAGAGTGGACCATCAGTTTTATGTTAAACAGATATTATACTTCATTTAATTTCAATGTTTGCAATTTCCTCAATGTAATATCACTTATTTTGATTCTTGTTTCCATTCCCACTTCTTTCCCAGCTCTTCAGAATTTTGTACTTAGGTAACTGCTGCCCTTTTTATTTTGAAATGGTTCTCTGGTGTGCATAACTCATTAACATCATTATCCCCCTATATATCTATCTACTGCTTGGCTGAAAATTAAGGCATGAGGATGAGTTCAGTTCCATACCTAAATAGTGACCAAAGGGTCACAGTTTTGGGGTTCTGTAGTCTCTTTCAGACAAATAAGCCAGGTCTTTCCTACTACTTTAATAAAGGATTTTTTTTTTTTTTTTCTGGAGGCCTGATAGCAATAGGAGCCCTGGTAGCATAGTGGATTACAAGCTGGGCTGCTAACCGCAAGGCCAGTAGTTCATATCTATGGGCCCTTCTTGGGAGAAAAATGAGAGTTTCTGCTCCCGTAAAGATTTATAGCCTCAGCAATCCTGTACAGGATCACTAAGAGTTGTAACCTGCTCAGTGGCACCACACCACTTATATATTTATCATAACAGACCTATATGATTTTACTGTGCAAACATATTTTTATTCTTCTGGAGGCTGGAGATGAGTAGGGAGAGGTTTCATAACACATAGGCACAAACAATAGTGTGTTTGGGTAATTTTCAAAGATGTCAACACCTAACAGTTATATTTCTCACAGCATATTGTGTATAGATATTTACTGTTCTAAAGGTCTTTATTTTTTCTCACATGGAATTTGTGCAAGGGCTAGTTAAAATGATAAGGACGGAAGGGAGGTTTGGTTATATGATGGTGAGAATGTAGAGCAGGTGATAATGGAAGAAGGAAGAGGAGAGGAGAGGGAGAAGGTGAATGAGATAATGCAATAGGGTCTCCTTGTATTAGAGGAAAAGGTCTTCCTTGAGAAGGTCAAAAGCAGACATAAATTATAGGGGCTTGCGAAAATGTAGACAAACAGGAAGCCAGTACTAATTAACTATATTTGGAAGGTCATTCACTGTTCACTTGGCAAATTTTTCACAAACTCATGATTTTATGCAGCTCTTTAGAAATGTGCATTTGCATACAGAAAAAAAAAAAATCTGTTCTCTCATGGATATGCAGCTAATTTTTCCCGATTATGGTAGACCTCTCTTAGGACTGTTCACACACTAGGGATAATTTTTTAACTCACTTGTGTCTAAATGCTATGGTTAGAATGAAGGGTTTAGTCTATGGATGTGTTTCAAAGATTTGCTCCTGGATTTCTATTATGCAGCAGTAGCAAAGCGATGTGGAAATGCAAAGCTTAGTCAACCTACAAAGTGTGATTTAGGATCAGTCATTGGTAAAAATGCTTAAATGTATGACTTTAGTAACTACTTTTACTTATATTTTGCAAAGGTAAAACAAACTGTAGTTCATTGTTACTAGTGTCATTTACACTGCATAAATTGTTAAAATAACTTTACTCTGGTGTGGAAAATAATAATTATTAATACATAGATGAAGTAATTTAACTATTGGGTTGGAAAACAAGATTTTGTGTCTCTGACTCTTTGTTCTTTTATACCTCTACCGTTAATAATGAGGCATTGGGGTGAAGATGGGGTTAGAAACAATAGAAAAAAGAGTGAAATGGTGGGGAACTAAGGGAGTAAGCAAAAATGTAGATTTTAACTGAACCATCTACAACATCTGCAATATCAACATCTACAACAAAAAACATCTACAACAAGAGATGTGATCTTTAAGTCAACAATTTGGAATGCCATTAGTAGGGGATCCCAGAAAATAATATCTATTGAGTGCTTAGTGTAGCAGACAGTATACTTATTTTTTTCCATTTATTTTCTCATTTAATACTCATAATAACCTATGAGGGTGGATACTACTATCATCCTCATTTTATGGAGAAAGAAAGAGAAATTTAGAGAGGTAACAAGATCAGTTATAAAAAGATCCAGATATTAAAAACTGACACATCAGTTAGATTAGAAGATAAACATTTACTCTATGAAATTTACCCAAGTTATTTGGTCTATACAGTAATAAAAAATTAGTAATTGGCAAAGTAGGGAATATAAACCTGTCTTTCTGATTTTCAAATATAAACTTTTAATTTTAACCAAGCACAGATTATAAAGTTTTCCTTACCAAATATCTATTGTATACCTTGAAAATTAGATCCCAAATTGTTGGTCATAATGTTGTTCATTCCACTCTAATGTCTTTTTTGGGCATTCTGATGTAGGATATGTACTAGACTGCTAACTGCAAAGTTAGCAGTTCAAACATACCAGCTATTCCTCAGAAACCCTGTGTAGGGTCTCTGTGAGTTGGAAATGACTCAAAGGCACGTGACAACAGCTACAGCAATTCCCTATTGGAATTTAAAGGATAAGCTTGATATTTTCACATCTAGTCCTCAACTCTCAAAGAATATCTTGATTAAGATCAGTAATAATCCTGATGTGGTGCCATAGGATAAGCACTGGACCACAAGGTTGGTTTGAGCCACAAGGTTGGCAGTTCAAACTCATCAGTGACTCCTTGGAAACCCTATATTGGATCCCTGTTAGTTGAATCCAGCTCCACAGCACTTAACAGAAACAGCAACAAATTTAATTAAGCCTTCCTTGAAGTGGTGTCAGGAGAGAAGCAAGGAATAGTGAAAATCATGAAAGGTAGATTTTGTCACATTTCATATTTTGATGCCCGCTGGTCCTTCTAAGATGAAAATCCACATTAAGAAAAAAACACATCTGCAAGAGGCTCATTGTTGCTATGACAATGACTTTAAGCTAATGGGAGTGTAGCAAAGGAGAACAGTCTAGTTCAACAGTATTGACCCTTCAGACTTTTTTTGTTCCCCAAACTCAAGGAACATTTAAAGGGAACATGATTTGAGTCCCTCAAGGATTCCCAAACTGCCTTCTTGAAGTGATATAAATCAAAGAATGCAGACGCTCTGGGGAAGGAAAGAGAGATGGAAGCACAGCTTTCAGAACTGTATAGACATAGATGGAGACTATGTCAAGAAGCTTCACATTTTCATATTTTTGTTTGATAAAGTTTCTGTGAATGTAGCAGTAGCAATACTTTTTGACTTATCCTTGTACAATCTTTTTTAGATTTCTATTATTTGTCTTATTTTCTTAATTAGCCTGTGAACTGCTTAAGGGCAAGTAATTGTTGACTCTCTCTTTTCAATCTTCTCAAGCGCTGAGCATATATTAATACCCTTCTTGCAAAACAAAAACAACAAAAAACACAGCCATTGAGTCAAATCCAATGTATGGCACACCTATATAGTTTCTGAGGCTGTAAATCTCTTCAGGAGCAAACAGATTTATCTTTTTCATCCACAGGGTGGCTGGTGGATTTAAACCATTGACCTTTAATTTAGTAGCCCAGTGTCTAATACACAGCACCATAAGAACTCCTCTATTAGGTACTCAAACTTTACTTATACCTTGGTTTGGTTGATTGGATA